ATAGCGGCAGCAATGGAAGGGACAGACTGGGCACTCCCTGTGTGACGTCCTGTGCGACGTGTACCTCACAGGACAGCACAGTGACTGAACGCAGGGACTCTGGAGACCACTTAAGACTCAGAATCCCGGCTTGCCACCTACTAGCTGTGTGACTTTGGGCAAGTTATGTAACCTGTTTCTCCATTTCCTTAACTACAAAACGAGGGTGATCACAGCACCTACCTGGTGGGATTATTATGAGGGTAAGTATATAGCATGTGCACGCATGTATGTGTAGAACTCTTAGCACATCATGCTATATGTGCCATTATTAGAATTCTCAAAAGCACTCTCTGAGGTAGATACAATTATCTAACAGATGAAGACACTGCGGTTCAGAGAGATTAAGTTGCCCAAGGTTACCCAACTAGTGAAGCAGTAAAACCACAGTCAAATGTTAATTCCAAAGCTTTTGCCTTGCCCCAGTGCATCCCAGCAAACACTCAAATACTTAGAAGAATCGATGCTGAAATAAGTGATTCTTGATTACAGGCAGGGGCCCGCCGACCGGGGCTGCTGTCCTCAGGACCTGCTTGTTCCCCACTGGCACTGGTCTCCTAGCTGAATCGGGACTGTCGCCTGCTTGAACCCCTTGCCCATCCACACCATCGGCACAGAGAGAGACTATGTGGCAGATTTGAACGTCAGCCTACGGAAAACCAGAACGCACTGCTGAGTCTCCACTTTTGAGACACGGGAGAGAAACTTTAAGATTCTGATTATTGATCTTTCCCCATCAGCAAAGTGGATTTTGTTATTTTCTAGATCTGTATCTTCCAGGGAATCGAGCAAACGCAGATTAGAGAAAATGGGTAAAGGGACGGAGTCCCTAGGTATCTGTATCTTATTTACCTTACTCCTCTAGGAATTCTCCTAAACATACTGCATAGACCTTTTTGTCTTAATAATCAGTTATTCACAAAAACATCTATGTTTGCTAACAATAAAGTTTCTAGCTAATATGTTTCTCTCCATGCTATTATGTCCAGAGAGAGTGAACGGGTGCCCATGTTTCTAGGGCCTTATTTTTAAAAGCAGGAAAAGAGCTTAAAGTTTTACCAAAGGTGATGCTTGGGCTATTTCACCTCTAGTAGAAGAGACCAGAATTGTTCTACTCCTGCCTCTGCAGAAGATGCCGGCTGCAGGTTGGGGCCGAAGCAGGTGACACAGGACTGGCATGTGCTTTTCAGTGACTCGTCATACTGTAGGACACGACATGAAAAGGTCCACTGACATACAAAGAGCAGCAAGACACAGGACGTCCAACTCTCCGGCTACATTTTTAGAAACCAGTGCAATGGCTCCTACCCCTCCTTCATAGATGGTAAGGGAGAAAGTGATCCGGAAAATACGGATACATTTCCTCCAAAGGTTCTCCTGTTGCTTATTAGTGAAAGTAGGCTTCATGAAAACCAAGTACTCTTTACATCTCCACAGTTCCTTCTTAGAACTGTTAGACACCTGCCTTTTCAAAGGAAAGCAACTTCTTGGCCAATAACTGACTTTCAACTCCATGCCAAGGGAGAAACTCACAGCTGTCCAGCCGGAGAAAGGGTCCCAGCAAATAATAGCTTTACCTCTAAAATTTGCTCTGTATGTGTGTATAAGGGGTGAGAGCACATAAAAACAAACTCCCAGAGAAGCGCTGAAGGGAAAAGGTGAAAATGTTAAATGTACGTTTAACATAAAGCATCTGGGGAAGGGACTAGAGAGGGTTCGGGAAGCTGGCTTAGAATCTGAACGCTCCGGACTCGGCCACTTGGTGTGTTTAACTTGAAGAAGTCACTGAACCATCTTCTGTGACTGAGTCTGTTGCCTTCTCTGAAAACGTGATGACAACAGTGCGTTGTCTCTAGAACCATTACGGGGTTTAGATGACATCATGTAAGTGAAGGGCAGGACGCCTGGAGCCGGCACCATCATCAGCCAATGGCCTTTCTTTGCGCCTCATTTTGCAGTTAGGACTATCTGACAGCTGACGCTTACTGAGCACGTACGATGACCAGGCCCAGTGCTGAGCTCTGGGCTTCTTAGGAGAATTAAGTCTCAGGTCGACTGGATTAAGTCAGCCTTAAGTTTGGGAGTATTAGTACATTTCAGATTATTGTGAAGATTGAGAAAATGCCTCCTATATGTTAGTAGTGCCTAAAGTATACAAAGTACTCAACAAAAGACAGATACTGCCTTGGCCGGTTTGTCTCAGCCGTTAGAGCGTCGGCCCGCGGACCAGAGAGTCCTGGGTTCGGTTCCCGCTAAGGGCACGTACCTTGGTTGCAGTTTGTCCCCGGCCCCGGGTGGGGTCGTGTGGGTGGCGACCAGTCGATGTTTCTCTCTCTCTCTCTTCCCTCTCTCCCTCCCGCTCTATCTGAAGATAAATGCAAAAATGTCCTCGGGTGAGGATTAAAAAAAAAAAGACAGATACTAATGTCTAGGGCAAGCCCCATTTGCCTTGATAACCAACAGGAGGGTGAGGACTGACCTGCGTGTTTTCTCCCCCTTCTAGCCACATCTTTGGCCAACAGCTCTCATAGCCTGTGGCCTACGCCGGGGGCTTGGCTCTTCAGGAACTATGGCAAGGACTCCGCAGCTGAAGAGCTTGAAGGTTCTGGTGATGAAACTAGAGAAAACTAGTCAGACTAGCAGTAACCCTGGCAAGGTGAAGTAACCCAACGGAAGCTGAGAATGCTATTTCTTGATCTAGATGCTGGTTACATAGATGCGTCCACTTTGACAAAACTCCACAACTTCTGCAATTAAGAACTGTGCACTTTTCTGTATGAAAGTTATGTTACAATAAAACATTGTATTTTATTTTTTATTTTTTCATCCTCACCTGAGGACATTTTTCCATTTTTTGTACAGATAGAGTAGGAGGGAGAGAGAGGAAGAGAGAGAGAGAGAGAGAGAGAGAGAGAAACACCGATGTGAAAGGGACACATCGAGTGGCTGCCACCCACACGACCAACCAGGGCCGGGGACAAACTGCAACCGAGGTACGTGCCCTTAGCAGGAACCGAACCCGGGTCTCTCCAGACCGCAGGCCGACGCTCTAACCGCTGAACCAAACCGGCCAGCGCTATTTAAAATGTTTTATTGGCCCTGGCTGGTTTGGCTCAGCAGTTAGAGCGTCGGCCTGCGGTCCTGAGAGACCCGGGTTCGGTTCCCGCTAAGGGCACGTACCTTGGTTGCAGTTTGTCCCCGGCCCTCATTGGGTCGTGTGAGTGGCGACCACTCGATGTGTCCCTTTCACATCGGTGTTTCTCTCTCTCTCTCTCCCTCCCACTCTATCTGAACAAAATATAAAAAAATGTCCTCAGGTGAGGATAAAAAAACAAAACAAAAACATTTTAAGTAGTGATTGCCCCGCTCCTTTATTCAAAGGGTGAGAGTAGCCCTTCCCACTGGCTGTGCCACAACAGGGTCACGTGCACAGCAGGTCAGTCACCTGGGCCAGCAAGCAGCCTCATCAGTTCACCCCACGGGAGCTACAGAAATACTCGAGTTTGGGGGTAAGTTTGGGAGATACTGCTCTAGAGTACCATTCGAACATCACCCTCCTCAATCACACACGCTTACCTCGAGGTCCTCGTGTGTTATGTGCCGTGGAGTTGGCCAGATTCCTGGTGATCCTATGAATGAGTGATGTGCACAAGGTCCTGTCCTCAGCAGCCTGGCTCAGCTCCTGCAGACTCAAAACTATATATTTTTTTTTTCCCTCACCCGAGGACATTTTTCCATGTTTTGTTCAGATAGAGAGGGAGGGAGAGAAGAAGGGAGAGAGAGAAACATCGACATGAAAGAGACACACAGAGTGGCCACCTCCTGCACAACCCAACCAGGGCCGGGGACAAACTGCAACCGAGGTACGTGCCCTTAGCGGGAACCGAACCCGGGTCTCTGGACCACAGGCCGATGCTCTAACCACTGAGCAAAACCAGCCAGGGCTGACGGTCTTCTTTTATGGAGTCAGTCCACCTCATATTTGGTCTTCCTCTTTTCCTGCTGCCTTCTATGTTCCCGAGCGTCACTGTCTCTTCCGAGGATTCTGCCTTCTCGCGATGTGCCCAGAAAGCAGGACAGCTTCAGTTTCGTCATTTTTGCCTCCAGCGATGTCTCAGGCTTAATTTGCTCTGGGACCCACTCGTTCATCTTTCTGGCAGCCCAGGTACCCGGAGAACTCTCCTCCAACACAGTATTGCAAATGAATCCATGTTTTTCCTATCCGCCTTCATCACTGTCCAGCTTTGCACCCATGTACAGTAACTGGGAATACAAGGTTTCCTGCCTAAGTTTAATTTTACTTATTCTATTTTTAATCAGATTCTTTCATCCTAACAAGGAAAGAGCACACTTCATGTAAGGGTCCCCGCCCACTGTTCTTTACAACACTGACAGTGGTCTTTGACACCATCCCTTGTCTTGCTCTTATAGCGAGCATATGTCTACCCTTCATTCCTCCCCAACTTCCTTCCCCACAGCCTCTGGAAGAAAAACCTAAAACAAACTTCAATCATTTATCAAGTCAATGGATATAACACAAACTACATGCTGGTTTTCTCTTTGAAAGTTTATTGTTTTGTTTTTTTTTAAAAACCTGTACTTTTTACATTTTACATTCACCTCTCAGAACATTTACTGGTACCAGTTAATGATGTTATTGTATAAAAAGCCCACCAGCTGTTTGAAATGGCTGCAAATTTTTTAAACATGTTCTGGTATTAAAGTGGTTTGAACTCTTTGGAAAAGTTGGTGTAACTTTAAGTACCGATATTTCAAATTCCCAGATTAGAAGCAAGATTTTTTTATTCAGGAGGAAATTTAGTAAAATTCAAGGCTAAAAGGAAATGTTAATAGAAAAACAAAACAACAATATTGTAAAAAATAGGATTTTCCCCCAAGTTAGATAAAAAAATTGCAACCAACCCCCCCCCCCCCCCCATATTTCTCTTAGAAAAGTCGCCCGATGCTGAACACAGGGTCTCCCACACAAACACAAGTAGCTTGATTTGCAGAGCAGCCTCTGGATCTTACACTGGCCCCAGTTAGAAGGTTTTTTTTTGTTTGTTTTTCTGTTTTTTAATTAAATTACATTAGGTAGTTAGACATCCATAAATACTGGTATCCAAACAAATAAAAACATCCTGGCTTTGGTATGGCTACAGAAACATGAAAACTGCTGAGAGGACACTGGCTCAGGGAGAGGAGCTGGGGAAATACACGAAAGCCCCGAGAGGAGGTTAAATAAATACTGGGACACATGGCTAGCAAACACTGTGTACCTGCGGCAGGAACCTCCAGCCAAACACACGTAAAGGTCCTTGATCAGAATTATAAACACACAGGTTCTTCATCAGAATAACATACATACAGGTTCTTGATCAGAATTGTCTGGACCAACTTTATCAAAGTATCACTTAGTCTGAATCTGGGAATTCACCTGGTGCCCTGGGTCTGGTGAGAGACCTTTGAGAGTAAGAATGGCCACCTGGGCTAAAAGCCAGCCCCCTCTTATTCTAGGAGGCACACAGTGTGTCCCCCTCTCATTCACTTTGCCCATCACAAAAGCTGCTCCACCTCCTAACAAGGGGGTTCTTCCACCCGTGATCACTACAGGGGCCTCCGAGTGGTTGAAATACTGATTCTTCACCTCTGGAGTAACTAAATAAAACATTAATAAATCTTCCAGGATTAGGAACATACTTTGCTGTGTCTCATGTCTATGTCACGTTTTCCTCCGTTTTCACTAGATAATGACTGTACGAGCTGTGAGGACGCGGAGGTGCAGAAGGCAGTGCTCGGGCCGAGACCATGCCTAACTGTGGCCTCAAACACCCTCAATTTACAGAAGAGAAAAGGCCAAAGTGCCCAGACCCTGGTCTTCAAATAAAGATACTCCACAAAAGCACAAAGGTGCCACCAGACAAGGCGAGGAAGAAAGGCAACTTGCTGCTTCAATGCTGAACCCCCAACAGTTATCAATACAAACCTTTCCCCAAAAAACAAACTTTGCCGTACTTTTAGGAAGACAAGTTAGCACACAATCATAAAAATAAAACAAAATAAAAAACGTTCAATGGCAACACACACTAAATATATCTAAATAACTCCCATCACAGGGCAATAGATGACAACCAATAGCTACCTGCTATTACAGGTTGTTACACACACCACAGCGACAGTTCGAGCAAGAGCGCTCTCCCAAACAGCCAAGGCCGCCAGGAGGAAACCAAAGGTGAAGCCCTGTGCACTGTGGACTTGGTTCACGGAAGTCTACTGATTAATAACGGGTCCTGGGGGCAGAGGAAAAACACAAAAGGCCCAGGCAACTTTTGATGAACAGCATTGTTTATCCTGTTTTTAAATGAGTCTCCAACACCAGAAAGAAAAAAAAAGAGAAAAAAAACAGATTATAAATTAAAACAAAACTGTATCTGTATAAGTCTTTACTTCCGAGTCAGTAAGGTTTGGTCTCTGTTGAAGCCAGAACTTTGGAGAAGGTGATTTACTTGTCCTTATAGCCCCTGACTTGCACTGGGGCGTATATATCAAGAGACAACACAAAGGGAATCACTTGAGACCAAAGGAGCTACTTACAAAGGTTTCCTAGGACGTGTGAAGTCTACTGATTGCCCACAGAGATGCTGACACTTGCTCTATCCCCAAAACTTGATAAACATTATAAGGTGGCAACTAGAATATAAAAAGACCCATCACCCAACAAATCACTTCTCTAGTTGTAGGAATGAGGGAAAGGGAGCAGGAGTGCAGAGGAGGCTGCTGCAGCAGGATTCGTTAGGAAGAGGGCAGGTTTAGTGGCAGCCACGGCAGAGCTTCTGTCTTCGCCCTGGGCCAGACCGCCAGGGAGATCTCCCGGAGGCTGCGAGTGCCAACGACAGGCTCCAGGGGCTGGGAGTGGCCAATGCGCAATAACGGCGTCGGTGACAAGAGGGCGATGTGAATGATGAGTGAGAGTCTGTGGCTAACTGGTTATTGCACTATCAATCTCACCTCCCCACCTTCAGTAGATAACCCAGATGACCAGCCTGTGGCAGGGCCCACTTCACCCACTTGGGAGCAGGGAAAATGAATTGCAAATAAAACCATCTGAAGTGACCACTTCTGGTTTCCAGCTCGAGCTAGAACAACTGTGTGTGAATTAACCACCTGCATGAAATAACATTTAAAATATGGTACCTTCAGCACATTATGAATATGAAACGCCCCCTCTCCCCAGCCCAATTACTTCAGTGCACATAGTCCCCCAGGCAAGTTCTGCTGTCGTTCAGCCAGTGGAGTGCATGGCAGACGCCAGATGTTACAGAAGGCATTTATTTCTCTGAGGAGGCTGCGAGCCAGGAGAATTAATCTCCTTCTGCTAGGACCTCTGCCCCAAGCTTCTGGGGAAACACTGAATTGGGCTCGACAAGGGAAGTAGCTACAGGATCCACTAATCAGATTCAGAGCATAAAAATCCATTGCTTAGTGTATCCCTTCCTGCTCCTCTTCATGGTAGAAAGACCGAAAGATAATTAATTTAAAAAAAATGTCCCTTCCAACTCAAAGAAAATTTTAGGGATAAAAAGACCACAAAACAAAACAAAACAAAACAAAAACAAATAAGTAAATCAAACTCCCAATACTCCTGAAAGGAAATCGTCTCGTGGTGACTGATGGCGGGAAGAAGTCGAGGCAGGAAAGAATGAAATAAAAATGGAAGCGACTGGCCATGAAAGCGCCTTGCAGAATCCACAAGAGTTCTCCATTTTCCAAGGCCGAGGAGCAAGTCCCAAGTTAAAAAATTCCTATTAAGAAGAAAACAAAACAAAACCAAAAACCAAAAACCACTCCAGAAAAAGGGTCAAGGGAAGTAGAGCACTGTGGAAAGTCAGGCCGCTGACCTCCGGCGAATCACAAAGAGCCCACGCTGAAGCTGGCCCAAGTAGATCCTCATCTTGGTGCTGTCACTGGTCTTTCTCACCCAGATCTGCAGGGGCAAGGAAAGGGAACAAGATGAGAGAGGGAATACTGAGGAGTATGCCCGGCTGGGGTGGCTCAGTGGATTGAGCATCCGTCCATGGACTGAGGTCTCAGTTCAATTCCCAGTCAGGGCGCATGCCCAGGTTGCAGGCTCGATCCCAGGTGGAGGACATGCAGGAAGCAGCCAATTGCTGTTTCTCTCTCACATCAATCTCCCCCCCCCCCCCCCCCGCTTCCTCTCTCTGAAAAATCAATTATAAAAAAATATTTTAAAAAATAAGGCTGAGGAGTAAATCTTCCAGAGCTTCAAAATATTTGCATAAATTAGGTGTGGGTAGAAAACTGGCAACCTCTTCCTGTCAACTTGCAAGGCCTGAGAAAGCCCCTCCTTGACCCTTGGCCCTAAAGGCACACACACCTCTAGTGCAGACAGTAGGCACAGCCCTTGAACTCATTTCCCCCAGGCATCTCTTTTACACCTTTGATTAAGAAAATGGAAAACACAATGATATTGGGTTCCATTTTGGCCTAGGTCTTAAGGACTCTTTGATTGATTACAACGTTACCAACATTCAAGATACATATATTCAAGAATATAAACTTTCAAATCAGGAAATATTTTCCTTACCTCATGGAACGTTTATTTTTTCCCCCAAAAATAAGTTTTTATTGTTTTTAGGGAGAGATAGAAACATCAATCGGCTGCCTCCTGCACGCGCCCTACTAGGTATTGAGCCCGCAACCCGGGCCTGTGCCCTGACTGGGAATCGAACCGGGACCTCTCAGTCCATGGGACGATGCTCAGTCCACTGAGCCGCACCAGCTGGGCACCTCAAGAAATTTTCAACACTCTGGTTTCCTGGCACTTAAGGCTAACGGTTGTGACAGGGAAAAAAAAAGGAAAAAATAAAAAAAGATGCTCTGAGTGGGCTAAGGCCCAACTAGGATCACACAGAGGTTAAATTAGCTTAAAACGGTCCTTCCCTCCTGACCATATCACTCACCCACAGGTCTCACGTCCTACAGGCAGACACGTTCTGGGGAGAACTGAGAATGAACCCCTGCAGCAGGGGGACTGCGGAGCTGACAAGCGCACTCAGTCAGGGATGGGAAGGCGAGCCGACACACCCGAACAAGGGACTACTGTGTGTCAGACACTGTGCTGATCAAGCTGAGCCTCCTCATCCTCAGACCGCCCCCCCCCAAGAAGTACTAGAATCACCCCCTTTCCTGGAAGAGCAAGGCTGAGTCACGTGTCCCATGTGAACCCTGGCACCTGACATCAAAGTCCCTGCTCTTCTCCTCTGACCAGCCCGACTCTTCTCATCAGTTTCTCATGTGTTTGATTAACATGCGATTCGATAGAGCCAAAAGCATAATAAAAAAAAACCCTGCATTACATATATGCAGGTACAAGTTTATTGATATATCTTCTCCCTTTCAGTTTTCAGATTTTAAAAAAGCGTATTCTCAGTTTCGCATCTCCATTTCTTTATTGTCACTATGGAGAACAGAGATACTTAATTTTTAAACCAGGGTGTTTGACTTGAAAGTTAAAGACCTCACGTGAAGCTGAACCTCTCAAGCACCTGCAGAACCACTGGCAACTAAAAACAGACCCCCGGAGAGCTGAGCTGGGAAGTCCCCAGCACTCTCCGAGCGCCCAGCAAATCTGCCCGGAGTAGTTGCGCACAGGCTGAGTAGCTCCAGCGTCACTGAGGATGAGACCTGAAACAAGCTGGAATACTTCCAGGAGGGAGAAATTGTTTCCTGTTCCCAGAGCTGCATGCCTCCAGCGCACTGAGGCGTCTGCCCTCCAGGAGACAGGTCTCAGTGTCACTGTTTCCTTGTCAGACCTCGTTGACACTCTACTATTTGTCAAAAGGTGACAATCTTCAACAGAGAGACAGAAAAATCTAACTTGCATTCCTATTTCCCTGAAAAATCTTCAAGTATCAGGGAGAACAGCACACTGGATCTGAAGGTTTAGGTTCTAGGAGGCCACACGTGTTTTGTATGGCAGCTCACGCGGCCAGGCGCAAAAACTCTGTTGTGAAATCACAACACCTCTTGCTGAGGAGCAGCGGTGTCGCTATTAGATCCCCTGTTCTGGCTTCTACTTGGCTTCAGGTGACACACAGATCCTCAGCCCAGAGAAGAATGACGTTCATTTATCTGGAAGGCTCCCCCTAACTTCTAAATAAACAATCATTTTGCAAACTAGTCACATTTAAGGGCATTTTCAATTCAGGAAGCTGGGACAATAGAAGAGGCTTAAGTTATTTCATAATCCAGTTTCATTAGATTTGCTGTGCACTGGCACAAATTAGTTACAGAGGGTAGACACATAAAAATCAATTTCGCTGCAGACATTTGTGGACTAATAAAAGATCAAGCCAATCCATCTATTAAAGTTTTAAACCTTTTTTTAACTACTAACAATACAGGCTACTCATTACTGACATCCTCCTAATGAAGGGCCAGTCAGAGAACTCGCAGGTCGGTCATATCATCCTTGAGCATAGCCCTCTGAGCTGACTTCACAACCAGTCCCCATCCTACAGCAGTGACTGGAGGAGACCAACATCCAGTGGCATGAGCCTGGTAGCTCACAGTTCAGAGCTACAAGAGGACGTCAGATTGGAATGACAGCGGGCAAGGCCCATTTATTGAGCACTTCCCTGTGCCAGACCCTGGGGCCAGATGCCTCATTATGTCCTCACAGCACAAAACAAATCTACTAGCACACATGGAAGTTCTAGACAAAGAACAGAACAAAAACGGAGTATGACCCACAGGCAGGTTCCATTCTCAGTACATGGTTACAGCTTTAAAAAGCAGCAGGATTTGAAAGCACAGATATCACACAGACTTTCCTTGTTCTTTCCTGTTGTCTAGCTAGTGGTTCCCGACTGCAATACTATACAGGAGTCCACAGATACCACAAGGAATACACAAATCCGCATATGCTGCAGTCAAGCAAAGTAAGGGATTTTCAAGGGTGATTTCGCCTATGTGTAGTTTCTACCTAGAAGCGCTGACGTTAGACTCTAACCCACATGTAACACGATTCCACTGTACTTTTCTAGTGGCCCTCCCACTGCGATTTGTCACCTTTTGCTTTCCTAAAGGGCAAGGGAGTTTGGCTCCTACCTCATTGGCTCCGACAGAGCTGATCACACAGCTCAGTTTCTGGTTGTCCTTTGACTCCAGATAGATGGCTTGGCTCTTGTGGTACCTGCCAAAAATGGGAAACAAGTTTATAATTTTAACAACTTTACTGAAGTATAATTGAAATGTAAAAGGCTGTACATATTTAATGTGTACAAGTCTACGAATTTGGGGTAAGTACACACTCGTGAAACTATAGTACCATCAAGGCCATAGACATGCAGCGGTGGGCAAAAGCAGGTTTACAGTTATAAGTACATGAAACACAGTTTATTCTTGTATTACTATTTAATTATTGTATTATTTATTATTAACCTGTTTCTGCCCACCCCATATATATCACCTCCTGAAGTTTCCCTTCCTCCTGCCCTCTTTATTATTACTGTTTTGTTTTTGTGGTAAGAACACTCAATATAAGATCTACCCACTTAAAAAATTTTAGGTATACCATACAGCACTGTTAAAGGCACAGAATTTTTAGGAAACAGAGGAAAGAAAAAAGATCACACAAAAAATGTAATTAAAAGAGCCTTAGTTGGTATTTTAGAAAGAGTCTGGATTTCAGGTTTAATTTAAAGGCTTCCATCCTTGGATTAGATGATGACCTAATCTTCTAAATCTAATTTATATTCCTTGGTCCCTCTGTAGAGGGAGAAAAGGGGGGGAGGATGTTGAGAAAAGGGCTAGGAAATTAACTCTACATTTAGTTTTTATTTGGACTGTATGACCCAGTTCAAAAAGTAAATTATAATTTTTCAGGTAAAATTTGTTTTCGCCCCAAAACATTGAAGAAGGCTAGAGAGACAAAATTAATAGATGGACTTGAACAATTGTTCTGTTATTTATTTTATATTTGTCCAAATAAGTCATCAACAAGAAGGAAGGCTAGATTCAGCCCTCACTTTGACCACTCATTCAACAAATACTCATTAATCACTTACTGCATACCACTGAGTGTGCGGGAGGTTGGAGGCAGACAGTGAACAAGGCTACAAGGAACTTCAAATACAGTGGCAGCGAAGGAGATGAAATCATCACACCTGGCAAGCAGTAGCCAGGTGAAGTCTGAGAGCCATGATGTGCACCAGAGTATCTAGCGTGGCCTGGTCAGTCAGGAGAGCTGCTCTGAACGGAGCAGATATGACAGACACTCCCCTTTCAGCCCCTATGGCTATTCTCTGGGCCTACAGTGCAAGACCACCTTCAACTTCTACAAGTTCAGGGACAAGGCCGAGGACAAAAGTGAGGAAGCCAGGGAAAAGCCCAAATGGGACAATACCAGCTGCCACGGGGTGAAGGAGCAGCTGCCGGATTACAAGAGCTGGAAACCAGCTGAGCTGCTGCTGGCAGCCCTGGCCTGGGCCAGCCCCTGTTCAGTCAAGAACATAACCTTTGGTTCATTCTGGCTCCACAGATCCGGCTTAACAGACCCACTAATTCATGTAAATTCCACCAACACCAAAATGCATCTCCCAGCAAAGCACTGCATCTTATCATTACTTCTGTGGGAGAAGCAAGCAGACTGTTTTGCTGGTGTAATGAAATAACCAACTGCCAAGACATTACAGTAACGTATGTACTTCACTCCTACAATCAGCTTTCCCCAATCTAGGCTCTAAGCACTCTTTAACCTGCTACTTAGGAGCTGAAAATTCAGGTTTCCAAGTCAACTGACTTCCTGAAAACACACTGTTAAAAGAAATCGAATCATAAATGCAATTAGGACAGCGAGATTGGTTTAGATCCAGTTTCAAAGTGGCTTTTGGCCAGAGATTAGTTGGTAAACTGGGTTAGGAGACCTTCATTATGCTGAATATGTAATACTGCAAGGTTTGACTGGCACAGTGCATGAGGAAAGGCTGAATCAGTTCACAGTTTGCAAAACTCAAATTCGAGCTTCCCTCCCACATCTAACCCAATTCTCCTGTGCAAATGCTTAGAATAAAAATATAAAGGGGAGAACATTCACTGTTATTCTATAGGGGTTGTGATTTATTAAAGAGATATAAAACACAAAATAACAGGCAACTAGCCTCAAGACATTCGGATACTACTTTCTAAATACTTTAATAAAGGAAGGTCATGGATGTGGTGCAGAAGTATATTACTAGTGTGGAAACATGCTCAATATACTGCTAAGCAGAGAAAACAAAAACTATGTCCATAATGTTCCTGTGTTTATAACAAAACATAAACACGTTACATGTGTATCATACAGTGAGAGAAATCTGGGTAAACTTATTAAAATGTATATTAAAATTTCATAAAAATATAACATGTAAATTAAGAATGGTATTCCTGCCCTGGTCAGTTTGGCTCAGCAGTTAAGAGCATTGTCCACTGACAAAGGGTCATGGGTTCGATTTCTGGTCAAGGGCACAATCCCTGGTCCACATCAGGGTTGTACGGGAGGCAACCAATCAATGTATCTCTCTCACACCAATGTTTCTCTCTCTCTATGTCTCTCCCTCCCTCCCTCCCTTCTATTCTATCTCAAAATCAATGAAAAAATATCCTCAGGTGAGGATTAACAACAACAACAACAACAACAAAGAATGGTATTCTTTTCATCACATAGCTTTCTTTTTCCCAGAATAAACAGGTATTACTGATATTAAAAAGTAAATAATATTTTCTTAAGTCACAGTACTGGACAATACCTAAATAAGAAAGATGGGGTAAAAAGAAAACATAATGTCACAAGTTTTATCCTAATGTCTGTTAAAGCCAACAGTTAACCCTGGGCGACCACTCAAAGAGCTCTCACGAGATGCACTGCATTTTCCTTCAGACCAAACCCTAACACAGTGGACTGGCTTGAGCGACATCAGGAGTAAACAATGCAGTGTAGTCTCTTGCAGCCTGAGCCATGATCTGGGAATTAAGCATCTGGCCACTTCCACAATGTGCCTGCTCTGGGATCACCTAAGCAGTAGTGGTCGCTTGAATGTCCACCATTTGCTTACTAGAGAGCTGGCCAGCATGTTTCCCAAAGCAGCCCACTTCCAACTGATCCCCATCTCCTTCTGAAGCCAAGTCCTCTGGGACCTCCCAGAGATATCAGGTACCACACAATGGTCTTGAGGAACAATGGTCCCTCGATATCAAGCATATTCAATTCTCTGGAAGAAGAAAAAAAGTCCTCAGTGCTCATATAGAGGGTGTTTTTGTCTTGTTTTGTTTTTTAGAAATATTTTATTGATTTTTTTTTTTTTTTTAGAGAGAGAAAGGGAGAGAGGGAAATATCGATGTGAGAGGGAAATATCGATCAGTTGCCTCCTGCACAGTCCCTACTCGGGATCAAGCCTGAAACCCAGGCATGTGCCCTGACCTGGAATCGAACCAGCAAACTTTCAGTGCACAGACTATACCCAACCAACTGAACCACACCAGCCAGGGCTAGGGGGTGTTTTTAAGATGAAACCAAAAACAGGACAACCTTAAAATGTAAATTTACTTTCCAATTTCTAAAGACTAAAAAAAGAGCAGGAAAAATTTCAAAATATACTTATAAAAAAATGTTGCCCTGGCCAGGGCTGCTCAGTAGTTAAAGCATCGGCCCACAGACCAAAGGGTCATGGGTTCAATTCCAGGTCAAGGGCACGTACCTGGGTTGCTGATTTGATCCTCAGGCCCAGTCAGGGTCATTTGGGAGGGAGGCAACTAATCAATGTGTGTCTCTTGCATCCATGCTTCTCTCTCTCTCTCCCCCTCCCTCCCTTCCACTCTATCTAAAAATCAATGGAAAAATATCCTCGGGTGAGGATAAACAACAACAAAAAAATATGTTAAAAAGAAACATCAACTGCCCTGGCCGGCTTGACTCAGCAGTTAGAGCGTTGGTCCTAGGGCAATGAGTTGAGGGTTCGATTCCAGTCAAGGGCACATACCTCATTTGCGGTTCATCCCCGGCCCTGGTCAGGTCATGCAGGAGGCAACCAGTTGATGTGGTTCTATCACATCAATGTTTCTCTCTGTCTCTCTCTCTCTCTCTCTTCCTCCCTCCCACTCTATCTGATGATAAATAAAAAAAAATCCTCAGGTGAGAAATTAAAAAAAAAAGAAACATCAACTGAGCTAAATTAGTAAAAATGCACATTATCACTTTTTTGCCAACTAACCCATTTTACAAGCTACAATTCATCTCTGCTGAAAAAATACCTTAAACAGCCTCCGAGGACAAGCCCCAAATGTCAAGCGAACTTTATTACTAATGGAAATTCTGACCTGGGAATCCCTACAATTAAGCTCTCAAAACTTTGCCTCTACTATTAAACCCAATGAACTAGAATCACCACTACTATTATGGAAGAAAGCAATTTCTTTAGAAGGTGGGTCAAAAAGTGGGGCAGGGAGGGGGCAGAATTCATTTAATTCTGTACCCTACTGGGAATCCTGATACTAATGTTTCACTTCAAAAGAAAAGACCATGTCACAGCTATAGTACTTCAAGGAGTCCCAATTCTAGGTGTAAATATTCACTGTTTTGAGTTAACAGTCTTTTGTGTCACTTAAAGGCTGGAGGGTTAAATGCTCTCAAGCAAGTGGGTGACTTTGTTTCTGATTCACATTAGCAGCCCCAGATTTAATGTGAGGAGAGAATAAAGCCTCTGCCAGCACCATCGGGTAGTTATTTTAAAATATCAGCTACTTTCACAGTACTTCCTAAGAAGGGTCATTAGTCCAAATCAAAATGTGAGGAAAACTTACAGCAGGATATAAAATGCCTTAAATGCAGCATAAGACCAAAGCAAAGGGAAGATGCTTATCTTTCAAAATGAAATGTAGCTTGATAAGTGTTCTTGCCAAGATGGGAAGCCTGAACCACACTCATTTTGCTGAAGTAATTTAAAACTCAATGAAACATGTTTTGCCAGAAATACTGTTTCACCAAAATACTCCACACCATTGGAAAGAACGTAAATTGACCTCACAGTTGACCTCACAGTCACAGGCCATGAATGCTGGAAAAAAAAGGAAAAATGACAGCCTCCTACTGTATTGACAAGGACACAAAAGGCAACCACCAGAAGCTGGTGAGACATGAGAGGCCGGTTCTGTACTGGTAAACATGGCAGCGAGGACTCCAATGAACACCTTCTAAATATGGAAGGGAGGGACCTGCTGAAAACAGTCATGTACTTTGACTGTCAAGGCCAAAGAAGAGAAATACACAGAATACAGAAGAAAACAACAGTCTAAATATTTAACAGTAAAATAAAAGCAGCTTTAAATTCACTGAAAAAGTAAAATGCTCCCAAAGACTTCATTTAAAAAATTCCTGGCACCGTTATGAGAAAGACAGTGAATTCCTTCAAAATGCTTAGGAGATCTAACACAGCAAACCTGACCACTCTGTTTACATCCAGTCACTGTGGATTCTTTCTTTAGAAAAACAAGAATTTTAGCCCAGCCGGTATGGCTCAGTGGTTGAGTGTGGACCCATGCACCAAGAGGTCGCCGGTTCAATTCCCAGCCAGGGCACATGCCCAAGTTGTGGGCCAAATCCCCAGTGGGGGCATGCAGGAGGCAGCCAATCGATATTCTCTCTCATTAATGTTTCTATCTCTCTCTCCCTCTCCCTTCCTCTCTCTCTAAAATCAATAAAGAAAAAAAATTATTATTTAATCTTTAAAGAAAAACAGGAATTTTATTTTACAACATTTTCACCCTCAAGAAATGTATCATAAAGTCAAAGGATTAAGCCTTAGAAAAAAGATCTCAAGTAATGCAATTACAAAATGAACATTATTTGAAATATCACATGGCTTTAGGACTCACAGATCCATAAAAATGCTAGTGATAAATCTCATCATTTTTTAAGACGTTTCTTATGTGCGGGCTAGATCTTTAAAGGTTATTTGATTTTCATTATTTGAAACATTTTTCATGTTATTTTGCCCCCAGTGTGGTGAGCTGTTAGGGCCTGCCACCTAGTGGTGATATGTTCTGATAAACAATATTAAGATACAAGACCGCCAAAAAATAGCCAAATGAGGGCAGGAGACGCCAAGATCAGACTTACAGTCTAATAAGTGGAACTGATTTATTTCAGGCACAACCAGATCACTAAGCATTTTTGCCAATTTCAGAAGCACAATATTTATAAGGTAACTAACTAACACAATGTTGGGATGTTCTTTAAGAAAGTTCAAAAAAGCCCTGGCCAGTTTGGCTCAGCGGTTAGAACGTTGGCCTGCGGTCCGGAGAGACCCGGGTTCGGTTCCCGCTAAGGGCACGTACTTCGGTTGCAGTTTGTCCCCGGCCCTGGTTGGTCGTGTGGGTGGCAGCCACTCGATGTGTCCCTTCACATCGATGTTTCTCTCTCTCTCTCCCTCCCACTCTATCTGTACAAAAAATGGAAAAATATCCTCGGTGAGGATAAAAAAACAACAACAACAACAACAACAACAACAAAAAAAGAAAGTTCAAAAAAGCCCTGGCGGTTTTGGCTCAGGGGTTAGAGCGTCGGCCTACAGATCAGAGTCCCAGGTTTGGTTCCCACTAAGGCCATGTACTTCAGCTGCAGTTTGTCCCAGGTCCCGGTTGGGGTCGTGTGGGTGGCAGCCAGTCGATGTGTGTCTCTCACATAGATGTTTCTCTCTCTCTCTTCCTCCCTCTCTCTCTCCCGTGCTATCTGAAGATGAATGCAAAAAAAATGTCCTCGGGTGAGGATAAAAAATAAATTTAAAAAAAAGGAAAGCGCAAAAAATTCTAAGCAACCATTATTCAAATTTTGGAACCTTCCATTAAGTAAATATATTGAAACTCAAAAGGTCATTAGATAGCCATTATAAATAGAGAGCATACAATAACCCAGAAAAACATTCAGCATATAACCAAGTAGAAAGGCAGAAGAATGCAAAAATGTGTCCACCATGACTTAATAAACTGAGTTAAGAGTATGCCACATATGGACAATGAATAAAGGAATACATCAGGATTAAAAGAGCTGTGAAATGGTGGCAAGTCCAGGGTGATTTAACACCTAGCAGAATGCCTAGTTACAAGAGCAGACAGTAAATGTTTGTTGAATGAATAAATGCATGAACTCTTCAGCGTCTTTCATATTATTTTGCCTTTTCCTTCCCAACGGAAATACTGGCGGTCTAAAGGTTTCAACCCATCTTCGATCTAAGCTAGTAATGTTTTAGGACACAAGTATGTCCATGCTGCTGCTACTATACTGGTATTGGTAGGCTTACATCTTCTGTGATGCCCCTGCAGACTGGGGTCAGGGTTGGGTAAACATACTTCCCCAAGTATGTTTCCTGGAACACTCATATAGCAGTACGGTGCATGCAAAAGGGTCCCTCACCAAATAACGCCTCATGACACCTTAGAAAGTCACAGGTGCACACTAGCATTTCAGCGGACCCAGAGAGTGCTACAACGCAGAAGCCCATTTATCTGAATTAACATGGTCATCCCTCAAACTCATCTGACCACAAAATCCTTTTTTCCGCAGGATACCATTAATTCTGGCACGCACAGGCAGAGTTAAGAGATGACAGAGGAACCCTGACCCCAGTCTGCAGGGGCAGCACAGAAGATGTAAGCCTGCCAATCCCAGTATAGTAGCAGCAGCATGGACAGAGAAAAGGGGACCACCATTAGAAGCACACGCTGTGGAAAAACACAGCCTTTAGAGATCTACAAGTAGCATCAACCAAATGACTCCTGACACATGTTTAAATGTTCTTCCACTTTTAGTACAATGTAAGTCAAGCAGTAGTTTGCTCTGAAACAAGAACTATAGACAGGCCCAGCTCTCTTTCCAAGTGGTTCTTTTGAGACTCTTATGAGTAATCTGTGTTTTGCTATGACGTACCATCTTTTATCATAGTACAATTTGCCATCTTCTATCCGGGCTTCAAATCTCTGAGCTGGAGACTCAGCTGGTGTGGCAGGCAAGTGTTCAGGAGAGGATGGGGATGCTAGAGGAACCAAATAAATATTTCAGTGACTAAGCATGTACCAAACATGTGAGTCCATCAGCTAAAATTCTTTAATTGAAATACTATTAAAAGGTGCTAATAATTATAATCAAGTCCTCACAGTTGTAATAAATGGGAATCCAATAAAATTCTTGTATAGTACATCTAATGATCCTCAAAGCAAAATTGTGAGATAAGCAAGGAGAAGATTAACCTCGGTGAACACAGGAGAAACTGAGGCTCAGGCAGATTTGCCTGAGGTCACTTAGAGTAGAACTAAAATCCCAGTGACCCAGCAGAAGCCCAAAAGGGCAAAAATTAGGTAAATCTCTTTAAATTTATAAGAAATGAAAAACTTTCTAGAAATACTTATTACTAGGTAGAGCAGGTTATTGGGTATGGATCAAGTCAAGCTAACACAGTGCTAGTAACTACAGTGGGTTCAGGATCTAAAAGTACACACTTACTCAAGTAACCCCTTTCCCCGTCATGCTTTCAGAAACTCGGGCCCTCTCTGTGGACCACAGCAGCCCTCGGGAGAAATTTATTTAAAGAAAGAAGAATCTTGTTTTCTTCCTCAAGACACAGTAAGTAGAGGGATGTGTGAGTAATCACAGTGCTTAAAAGAAAACAAAACAAACATCTTGCCAGCTCCGAACCCTAACCGCCCAGCGCAGGCTCCCGAGGGCTGCCCTGCAAGGACACCGTGAGCTCTGGCACGGTCTCTTCCCTAAGCTGGGCCTGCGAGAGCCGGCGAGTCCGTGCCCAGAGCCAGGCCGTGAAGTCACTGCTGTCTAGTGCTGTGCTCAACGCCACAAAGCGAGTAATACTGACAAATCCTCTTGGTTTTTCAGAAATGAACGTGTCCTTAAATTTTATGGCTGATGCCCACACAGAGAGGAAAGCTTTAGCAGCCAATCAATCTTGTCTCTTCTACAATAAATCCTAACACAAAAATAACTTGAACATAGCAGGGTTAAAAAAAAAAAAATCAGGGGAGGGTACACATAAGGTTCCCTTCAGCTTTCATGATTCTCCTAACTGTCCTGGTGCCAGGTGTATAGAAGACAATGATGAACACTTAATTTTTGAAAGTGGCAACAAATCCCAATCAGGTATTCACATGCTTCTCCAAAAACATGATAAAAAACTGCACAAATACCAGTAACATCATGCACTTACCTGGTCTCTTGGGTGACTTAAGCTGTAGAAAGAACAACAAAAAATCTTAGCTGTAACATCTTAGACCTTCAGATGCACCTTACGGTGTCAAAGGTATCAAACTGATTTAACAAGTAATGTGAACAAAGTAAAGCTAAAAACCGTATCAAGCCTAAGCTTTTAAACAAACAAACAAAAAAAACTGTACCTTATTTAACGTTCTCAGATCCTCCATGATCTGTTCATCTGTTAACAAATAGTTGAGCTGCGGTGTTGAGAGTTAAAGAATGCGTCTCAAAAGCATGGTTTCCAAGCAAACAGAATTCAACAAAATGGCACCAGCCTTTTAGAATTTACAAAGTGTGATTATGTTACACGGCATCTTTACAATAACAGTTTGTCTCTTGGAAGTTTTTGATTCTCCTACTAAATGGCATGGTGCCAGGTATATAAAAGAATTCACACCCCCATCTTACAAACTTCAATGATGCAAAGGTGGAATGAGTGTCGACAGGTAACTACAGTAACAGTGAGCACAGCACACTGTTAAAAGGACTTCATCTCGAACTAATGAAGTGCTTTGGTTCCAAAGATCTGAAGGCTTCCACATACATACCTGGGGTTTATCTTCCCTAGCAACTTACATGATCGGTTGTGAAGATAAAGGGACCTGAAGTTATGCCCTTTCTTGGTGGTGGACAAATAGCTGAACCATTTTGTGCAAATGACTATTTATTAGATCCTCAAGAGGATAGAAACAATACTTCCCCATATGTCCTCTTCCCATTCCCATTTTTATGATTAAAGGGGCTTCTTTATGTCTGACTGAAATCACATGTGCAATCCAGGGATACAGATAACGAAGGAAGAAAAGGCAACTATCACTGTCCTTATTTTCCAGGTGAAAAAATTAAGGCACATGAAATCTTCAGTTGCCCCTGAATCTCCAAGTGGGTACAAAATCCAGGCTGAACTCCCAACACAAAGTTTCTTTCCAAATAACTGCTCCCTATAAATCCCTCCCACTAAAAGCAGCCGCCATTGAGGACTCAAATATGACTACTTTCTGTAGGACAATAGCCATGTGTATTCTACCAAATTGGTAAACAAAGGATTTATTAGTCTTAAGGGGGAAAAAGTGACCAAGGCTTGATGCAAACGGATATCAGGAGCAGGTTTTCTCCTCTTGTCTGGAATGGGGACAGGATCATTTGGTCGCCGCCTCAACTTTCTGGTCATGATGGGTTTCACTTCCATAGAATCTGTGGAGAGAATGGAATGGGTAAATCTATCCAACCCCCACTGAAGTCAGTGAAAATTTCCATAAAGAATACCTGCCCCACAGCCAGCCAATCAGACTGTTTTACTGGAGACATCTGGTCCACACGTGGCCCAAGCCAGACACCCATACCAGACTTCGGAGAGAGGGTCGTGCTTAGAGGATTCAGACCTGCTGACCTAGGAGCACGTCCCTCTCAGAAACACAGCCCAGCCCTGCTGCCTACTGTCACAACCGCTACAGACATCTCTTCAGTACCCTGAAAACCAGGGACTTTCCGTCTCTTCCTTCAAATTTAGAGGCCACAGTGTCACAGGCTCTTGGGACTGAAAGGAACCTTTGGGTCATCTCCATCCACTAATTCTTGCTGTTCCCACGGAGGGTGGATGAACTGAAGCCCACCAGTATAAAAGGCTCTTTTAGAGATCAGTGGCCTCAGTGCCAACAATTTTATATGAGATCTTCATTTATAAACATGAACAATTTTATTTAATAACCTTTTGTAGCTACTTGACTATCAAGAATGATATAGTGAAGGCTCATAATAAAAGCCTCTTTTCATTCTTCTTGACTTCTCTCTGCAGTCTGACACTGGTTGCTAACTTCTCTCGCCTTAAAATCTCTCCTCCCCCAGCCACTGGCACAAATCTCCCCTTCTCTCCTGATTTGCCTCCAAGGGATCCTTTTTGCTGGCCTGTCCCTTAAAAACTAGTACTCTCTGGGGTCCAGCCAGTCTCAGCCTGTATCCCAATGAATCTCTGATCAACTCCAATATACCTACCTTTCTGAATGGCCACCTATACCCTACACCACCATACATTCTCCAGACTCCAAACCAACTCATTTCCTCTTATTTCACCTCCCACGGCTGCCTTCTCTCCTGCGTCTCAGGGCATCACCTCTACACATCCTTCACAGCCAGAACACCTATCACCCGTGACTTCTCTTCCTTCATCTAGGCATTAATCCACCAGACAGTGGCAGTTCTGCCTTTTAACTACCTCTCAACTCCAACCCCTCATCATATCCTCACCTCCCTCAAGGCAATCTTCCTAAGACACAGATCAGATCCCTTTGCACCTCCCTCAAATATCTCAGGGGCTCGGCACTCTCTACAGAAGAAAGGCCAAGCCTCATTTCTGGTCTTCCTCGCTCCTCCTACACTCACACACACCCAGGGTGTGAGCCTTCAGCCATTTGATCACTCAAAGGCACTGCTCTCTCTCTCTCTCTCTAATCCTCACCAGAGGATATCTTCAGATAGAGTAGTGGTGGGGAGGAGAGAGAAACATCAATGTGAGAGAGACACATTGACTGGTTGCCTCCCACATGACTCCAACCAGGGCCGGGGATGAACCACAACCGAGGTACGTGTCCTTGACTAGAATCGAACCTGAGCCTCTTTGGTCTATGGGTCGACGCTCTAACAACTGACCCAAACCGGCCAGGGCTTTTTTTTTCCCCTAATATTTTTATTGACTTTTTAGAGAAAGAGAGAGATACATCGATGTGAGAGAGACATATCAATAGGTTGCCTCCTGCACGCCCCCTACTGGGGATCGAGCCCACAACCCAGGCATGTGCCCTGACCGGGAATCAAACTGGACCTCTCAGTCCGTGGGACGACACTCAGCCAACTGAGCCACACCAGCCAGGCAACGCACTGTTCCTTCTATGCCTTGAAGACTCTGCGTGCTGTCCTCTTTGCCTAGCCTCCTCTACTCTGCACGGTAAACTCCTACACAACATCCCCCTCTGGGACCACTTCCACAGACAGTAACTAGAGCATGTGTACAAACCTCTACTGTCACATGCCACAAAGTTTGGGACATTTCCCCCAACAGATGCTTGAATTCCACCCCAGCCTGATGATGAGATAAAGTTAACTCGAGATTATGCACACTATCAACAGAGTAGACAGGACAGCCTCCCAGAATTCAAATATAACCCTTCCATTATGGCATATAAGAGTATATAATAAACATCTGAACAAAGTTAAACAATGTTTCTGCATGCTGCTCTTAACAGAACGGGCAATACTGATTTTTGGCCCCCAAAAGAAGGAATGGAGGTAAAGTGTTAAGAACCACAGATCTAATGACTATTCATAAAAGCACACTTGGAAGTGGGGGTAGGAGGAAGGACAAATATGCATGCACCTTTGGGGAAAAAGTGTGTGTAGGGGGCTTCTCCCTAAAAGAAATCTCTTACCCTATGCTCAGATGCCACCTCCTCTAGTCACTTACTGGCCGGTGGGTCTGAATCCCTGCTGTGGCTGTGTGACCTAAGGAGGCTTTATAAATACTGTCTCAAGTTTCCTCATGTATGAAATGGAAATATCAATAAAACTGCCCTCACAGGGTGCTGTGAGGATTACATGAGATAATACGTGTAAAGCACTCAATACAGTGCCTGCCATAATGGAGTTCAATCAATGCACGTTTTATCACCGTATTTTCAGCCAGGAAAAAACTATACAAAAACCTTTTTAAAAAGTCAAGGTTTGGCTCAGTGGTTGGAGCGTCAGCCTGCGGTCTCGGCCTGCGGTACAGAGAGACCCGGGTTCGGTTCCCGCTAAGGGCACGTACCTCGGTTGCAGTTTGTCCCCGGCCCTGGTCGGTCATGCGAGTGGCAGCCACTCGATGTGTCCCTTCACATCGATGTTTGTCTCTCTCTCTCTTCCTCTCTCTCCCTCCCGTTCTATCTGAACAAAAAATGGAAAAATGTCCTCGGGTGAAGATTAAAAAAAAAAAAAGTCAAGGCAGCCCTGGCCAGTGTGGCTCAGCGGTTAGAGCGTTGGCCTGTGGTCCAGAGAGACCCGGGTTCGGTTCCCGCTAAGGGCATATACCTCGGTTGCAGTTTTTCCCCGGCCCTTGTTGGTCGTGCGAGTGGCAGTCACTCGATGTGTCCCTTTCACATTGATATTTCTCTCTCTCTCTCTCTCTCCCTCCCACTCTATCTGAACAAAAAATGGAAAAATGTCCTCGGGTGAGGATAAAAAAAAAAAAAAAAAGTCAAGGCACAGTCCCTGCCAGTTTGGCTCAGCGGTTAGAGCGTCGGCCCGCGGACCAGAGTCCCGGGTTCAGTTCCCACCAAGGGCACGTACCTCAGTTGCAGTTTGTCCCTGGCCCCGGTTGGGGCCGTGTGGGTGGTAACTACTCAATGTGTCTCTCTCATGTTGATGTTTCTCTCTCTCTCTTCCTTCCTTTCTCCCTCCCTCCCACTCTATCTGAAGATAAATGCAAAAAAAAAAAAAAAAAAGTCCTCAAGTGAGGTTTAAAAAAAAAAGTCAAGGCACAAGCAGCTAAAATAGAAGGAACAGACTTGAAGGCAATTGATGTCAACTGTGAGACTGCAACACTCAGACCAACCTGGAAAACGGTGTAAAGGGAGCTCACCCAAACCTAAAGAGCACCAGAGAAAAAGCATCTAGCTCGTGAACATAATGGCATGTTCTGTTCACTACAGAGAGTGGCCAGGTGTGCCCTACCCTTTAGTTGCCAAGTCTGGGAGAAGGGGAGGGAGGGTGGGCAATACATGCTGGAAGTAAGCGAAGTCAAGGTATAGCTGAAGATCTCGTAATATCCCAGTCCAATTGTGGCCAATAAACTTAGGAAATCACAATTGTATCACTCACAAATCCAAAAATATAATCAAATTTTTCTTATGAAATGGTGAAAATCAATTATTTTATTAGCCTACTCACAACAATAACCTAATCAATGAAATTCAAAAAACTGCTTCAGCAGAAGGAATGTGCTCTGAAGAAGCCTCTAAAATGTATTACCGTGTCCCCACCACCATCCAGGAGAGGAGAGCAGGGAGCATCCCTGGCCAACGGTCCAGGAGGAAGATGTGATTCGAATTATATCAACATGTAGGTATCACAGCCCCCAAACTACAATAACATCATCTACTTAACTCACTTTATTCCAATGCCAGGTTTGCCTAGTTGAATTCCCAGTTAATTTTTTTCAAAGGGGTGGGACATCCTGACCACCTGGGTCTGAGTCGGCTGCAAGTGCTTATTATTCACTGGCAGCAACAGAGGCATTTATAACATCAGTCTCCTGTGAATCTGGCCAGTAAGAGTCCCAAAAGGGGCTTGATCTGGGTGCACTGACAAAAATTAAACGTCGGGAGCTGAAACTCAGACCTTGGAAAGTGGGAACCCTGGAGAAGGTACTGGAGAGGGAAATCAGTCTTCCTCTCAGACATGCTGCACCAAGCACCAAACATCTCTAACTGGCTCAAATCACAAAGCCTCCTAGATCCAGGGACTCCTCGTATATTTGCATCAGTGGGGAAGCTATTTGCAGAATCTAACTGAACATCAAACAACTACACCAGGGCATATATGTGACAGAAAACAATGAACAAGCAACGAAACTAGGTACACAGCTCCTCTCCAAACTATCTAGAGTATCTGACCTTTAATTGCGTGAATCCTAATGCTTACTCATCGGGGAAGAGCGGACTGGCAGTCACAGGCACTCCCCAGGCAGCACGGGTATCCCAGCTAAGAAATGGAGAAGCTGTGCTACAAGGTCATTATTACAGCACAGTCCCTTATAGGAAGATATTCCTGAGAACATTAATTACCCACAATTAACATACAATTACCATTTACTGGCTGGCCTTTTGTTCTGCATCTCTCTCCAACAGCTCACCTGCCTACAACACACCACTACAGTAAAGGCTTCATTCTAAAGTATTTCCACCATTAAAACAAACTCATACCTGTTTAGTTGTTGAAAAAAAAAAAAAATTAGTTGCAGTGACCCAAAGGAACATCCTTAAGAAAAAGGATGCAAGTGGAAGAAAAGCTATCACAGAATAAACATGGTAGGAGGTTGGAAATTACCCTCAAACCAGAGGTAGTGCGACATGGGATTAGACTAGAAGCCCAGAGCAAACCCCAGTACACCCATGCCCCTCTAGTGGGGTGGCAGGCTCACCAATATCATATATCAATGCTGCAGTGACAACCACAAACGGGTGCCTTAGGAGGTGGGTAGAGGAAGGGCTACATAATCAAGGCCAGGTCTTTGGAGGTCAAACCAGGGTGGGTAGGTAGGAAGGAATCAATCTCCATTAGGCCAAAGTTGCCCGGATTTCAGGGATGGCATTTAAAGAGGGAACCAATCAAGCCCTCCTCTGCACCCCATCACATTAAACATCCTGGACTCCACAATGGCAACATCAGTAAAGATCATCTCAGGGCTAAGCCCACTTCAACCAAAATTCACGTCACCTCTTCCACTCCCCCTTCCCAGATATTTGTGTGGGACCTCTTCTTCTGAACTTGACTTCCAAGGTTCCCTGCTCACTGGCATCTGTTACAGATAGGGTAAAATTTACCACTCCTACAGTAATACAACCACATATACCTGAAAGGTTTTACAATCAATAAAAACAAGCGCGTCAAATCTCGATCTCCCTCCCTCTCCACCACTGAATGTTGGGGGAAGACATAGAAACTGTGTCAGTCTTGTACCTATCAGAACACAAGCTCCTTGAGGACACAGATTTTAGCTATTAGCCTCATTTTGGAAGTGACTTAGTACCACATGAATCCATGGTATATGCAGGGAGTCCACATAATATGGTAAAACAGGCTTGGAGTCAGACAAATTCTGGCTCAGCCACTGTCTCACTGGGAGAACTTGGAGCAAAAGGCTCTGTTTCTGAGTGTACTTTGCCAAGTCAAGTCACAGGGAGCTGCAGGAACTGAATCAGGTTACAACTCCCAGTTCCTAAGTGCTTACTCTGTGCACCAGCCACTCTTCGAAGCTTCAGGCATCATTTCAAGTTAATCTTCACACCAACCCTCCATGGTAGGTTCTACCATCTCCTTGCCAAATGAGAAACCCTACCACAGAAGTTCATGCCAGGGTGACGGTTCATCCACATCTGTCAGCCTATAGAGGCAGCTTTTAAAAAATATATATTTTCTTTATTGATTTTAGAGAGAGAGGAAGGGAGAGGGAGAGAAAGATAGAAATACCGATGAGAGAGAACACCAATTAGCTGCCTCCTGCATGCCCCTACTGGGGATCAGCTCACAACCTGGGCATGTGCCCTGACCAGGAATTAAACTGGAGACTTCTTGGTGCATGGGTCAACCACTGAGCCACACCGGCTGGGCGAGCTCTATCATATTTATATAATACCTGGTTTAATGTAAGTACTCAGGAAACAGCTCCTATTTTAATATTATAACTACTCATGGCTCTAGCCTTGAATCAAATATCTTCTGAAGGAAATTATAACAGGCTTATAACTGAGGTCATGAGTAGCTTCGACAAGGGCCTGAGCACTGGAGGATGTCCCTGGTGGGGCAAGAACTTACAAAAGAAAATGAAGTGGCAGTTAATGGGCTGTTGGAAGAACGCAGAAAAGGCAGCTGTCCTGAAGACGGGAAAAGAAAAAAATGACTTAAAAATGATAAAGCTCCCCACATTTTCAAGCTCATTAAATTCTCATTAACTATTTGAGTTACTTATAACCTTGGCCTCAACTACAGAGCAAACTCACACCTAGGAAATTCTACCTATAACTTCATTGCTCAAAGTGAGGGCCGACCAGCAGCATCAGCAGCCTCCAGGAGGTACTTAGAAATGCAGCATCTCGGGCTCCACTCGACTCCCTGAACCAGAGTCTGCATTTTAGCAAGAATCCAGGTGACTCATCCACAGCCAGGTTGGGGGAGCACTGACCTAGAACTTCTCCTGGGTTCTTTACCGACAGCACACCTTTCTACACGCACACCCAACTGTCCTCACAAGTTCTCCATAAGAGACTTGGGGAGTGAAGGGAACCTCCCTAATTCCCTTGAAGGTTTGGAAATGCTTTGCGTCCTGTCGGACAAAGCAGGTCACCGGATCCACCCATATCCAGTGGGTTATTTGGATTAAGCTTCTCATCAGTCCTATTTCATTTTGTTGTTCACAAGATCTTCCTGTTAAACCAGAAAAGGAGAGTTTAAGAAAGCTCTTTTCTGGGCAGAGCTGGGCAACACTGATGCTAGGCATCAATCCTCAAAGGTGAAATAAGTCACTCAGTGAGAGGAAGGAAATCAGGCCTTTAATCCAACACCATGGCAGCACCATCTGTGGAAATGCTAATTACCCTTCCAGCTCCAGTGCCTTCTTTCCCACTCTATCATTGCCTTGCAGTGCTCTCCATACCAAGGGTACCAAATGGCTTGAGGAAGGACATCAGTACCTTTAATGCCCACGGCTAGCTTTGAGCACTTCTGTCATCTATGTTACTGCGTTACAAATGATTTCCCCACGTTTATTTGTCTTTTCTACCCTGGCAGGCTCAGCCTTAAGTCACTGGGGATGCCTCCTGTCCCAGTTAAGATTCTGGCAGTAAAACTGCCTGGCCAAACAATGTCTATCACTTGTCAACAACTAGGATGCCAAATCACAGGTAAGGCGATGATATCCTTCCCTGCAGATGGAAAGGGAACAGCTATAAAGGACAATATTTCCCACTAGCCTAATGAAGGCTCCCGAACATCTGGTGGCTCTAGCAGAGAGCGACGAGGCGTCAATGCCAGCCACAGCCACCACCAGACAAAATGATGTGCGGGTCAGAGAACAGGCAGGCAGACTAGTACCAAACTAGGTAGTATACAGTGCTCACGGCCCAATGAAAAAAGCATTGCAACAAGAACAAGATGGTGCTGTCCGAAGATGCTACTTGAGCATCCCTTCTTGCTCAAAAAGAACATTTCTGAGCTGCCTTCAGAGGTCTTTAAGGAAATCACTCCTTTTGCCAAGTCTCTCGATGAGGAAACTATCAGAGGAGAGATTTTTCAAGAATGAGACTCCCACTTCAGACAAAACCACATCCTCATCAGTGCATCACGAGATTGGAGCTAGAAGTTCATGTCAATGGGGAAGCCAATCTGTGTCATTAGTTCACAGCACCAGGAACACAGATGGGGAAAACAGCTCTTGACTGTTAATTTTAGTTTCAAAGTCAACCCAAGGACTTACATAAAAACAATGCATTTGCTATGGACCCCTAGTACCTTTAGAATATTATAAAAGTTGAATTTTGGGGTATGCAGAGGACCGCTTACATATCCAAGTGACCAACTCACCACTGACTTTCCTTGTGGTATTTGCTGATGGAAATTTTGCCAAGTTCCAAAATAGCTAATTTAAGCTAATTGCCGCCCTGTATCCTTCTAGGATTCATCAGTCTACATATGGCAACAGAAGAGTCAGCCCATATTGCTTCTCCCTTAAACCTGCTGAGTTTCCATATGCAGATTACTAAATCCTAGAAGGCAAGGGAGGGACTGGCCCTGAGTCAATGCAACTTGACTACCTCTACAGGAAAGGAGTTCAGTTTAGCTTCCCTTGCTGAAATCCTATCAGCTCTTTCTGAAATGTTCACAGTAAGGCCTGGGAGAAGAGACTTTTTTATTTCTCACCTGAGGATATTTTTCTACTTCTCATCAGATAGAGTGGAAATGAGGGGGAGAGAGAGAGACAGAGAGAAACATCAACATGATAGAGCCACATCGACTGGTTGCCTCCTGCACAACCTGACCAAGGCCAGAGATGAACGTGCCCTTGACCGGAATCGAACTTGTGACTCATTGGCCCACAGGCCATGCTCTAGCTGCTGGGCAAAACCAGCCAGGGCAAGAGAAAGGATCTAACAGCATAGATGGTACAGTCAAAAGCCTTTGTTCTCACATCTAAGTCAAAAGAAAACAAGGTCTTTTCTGTAATTAAGGCAAACTGAAAAAAAAGAAAGCAGCAGCAGAGAGGCTCAGGTAAGTAATCTGTGAACATGACCAAAACACAAATGGCAGCTGACCCAAGAATTAAATTAAATAAAGCATATGCCAGAGACTTCCGTTACTATCTACCAATTCATTGAACACCTGTTATGTTTAGGGCACTATACTGCCACAATCGTGTGAGATAGGGTATGATCAGCCCCATTTTACAGAGGGGGAAATAGGCTCAGGAAGGTTAAGCGGCTTGACTGAAGTCACACAGCCAATGCAAGACAAAATTAAAAATCTGACCTGTCATGTCAAAACCCACTCTGCTTTTAGCTTGCTCTGCTCAGAGGAGGGACTGAGACCCAAGACAGAGAGCGTTAACTGGAGCATCGCTGCTGGCCCAGTCCTGCCTCGGGGCTCCCAGGACCCTGGCTGGTGCTTTCGTACCTCCAGTTAGTTCCATCGTTAGCTTTTCATTTTCAATCATTTTCTTCTTTTCTTCTAGCTCAGCAATCAGGTTCTCTTTCAGCTCAACCTTCTTGTCTTCAAACTCTTTCACCGCTGCCTTCTTTTCTTTAATGTAATTTCTTTCCACTTGTTCAGTCTGAGCAAAAGAAAAACACAGAATACGGGTACATGGCCCTGGCAGCCAGGGCTCCACCTTGAAGTCTGGCCCTGCACCCAAAAGCAAAGAAAATCCCTTTACTAGAAATATGAAAAATTGTTGCTTGCGCTCGCTCGCTCTCGCTCTCGCTCTCTCTCTCTCTCACACACACACACACACACCTGCAGTAATAGTCTCTGCGAGCCAGTTTTCCAATGAATGGCATAAACTCCTACCACACAATTTCTGCTTGTTTTTATGAGTATACCTCACTTGCTACTTAGGTTTTTCCTGTCTTCCACAACCTGTATTGTACGGCTTTTAATTGTGTTAAAATAAAACATTAATTCCTCAAAGATAGTAAATAAACCCTTAAAGGACACAATTTCAAAAGAAAAATGAAATATCTATATCCAAAATTAACTGAGTCAAGATGGCAGGAGTTACTGTATGTTTTGACATCTACAGTAAGATAAACATCAAATAGAGTAGGTCATTTATTAGGTGACTAAACCCCAAAGCACTAAACACTAGAATTATACTAAATGAAAACTGCACAAACATCTATTTCTAAATCTCACCAGGGGCTTATGGTGGGTGATGGCTATGGATCGTGTGGTCCCTCGGGCTGTGACCATGTGTGCTGCACTGACTCAGGTGTGAAAATGGTTTCCAATAACGTGGCTCTGATGAACTCCCGCCCTGCAACTCCCCCACATACACACAAGCCACCTCGGCAACAGCACATCATTCAAGATCCAGGCCCTCATCTCTGTCCCAAAGCACTGTGCCTCACACAGAACCAGTCAGTACTAGATGTCTGCTGAATAAAAGGAAAATTTTAATCCATCTTTTCTGCTGACCCAGGGAGTCTCGGCTATAAACCTAAACTATTGAACCAATTCAGAAACTGGGCTCCTTCGAGGACCAATGTAACAAATTATTAAGCCATCCATTATAATTCAGACATACTCCCAAATGGCTTTAATGTGAGATCATTATTGTGAGTCAACAGGAAAGCTGTGAGGAGTGAATGTCCCCTAGTCCTGTGACAAGCAGAGGCTACCCAACAAACAAATGAATACATGGAATTTTTGAACTGAGACCAAATGTCCTTTCGTCAAACAGAACAGTGACGAAGGCTTCCAGCTGGAGGCTTCCCAGAAAGGCCACCAACTGGGAGAGGAAGATTCCAGTCTGAGAACGAGTCCGCAAACCCAGAAGATCCCGAGTACTTACTTCCAGCTGGAGGAAGAGTTCTGAAAGAGATAAAATGTGCAATTAGATTCGCTAGGCTGTGTCACCTTTCTAGACAGTATGTTAGGATTCATTTAGGAGCAGTAATTGCTTTCTGAAAGCACGATTACCCAGAGCAAATGTTTTCATCAGTAAAGTGCTGATATACATGAAGGGGAGGGATGCAAGAAGCACTCGTGTCTACTTTAAAAGTTGGGCCCCAGCCTTGGCCGGTTTGGCTCAGTGGTTAGAGCATCGACCTGAGGACCAGAGAGTTCCAGGTTCGGTTCCCACTAAGGGCACGTACCTTGGTTGCAGTTTGTCCCTGGCCCCAGTTGGGGACGTGTGGGTGGCAACCAGTCGATGTGTCTCTCTCACATCGATGTTTTTCTCTCTCTCTTCCTCCTGCTCTATCTGAAAATAAATGCAAAAATGTCCTTGGGTGAGGAAAGAAAAATAATAATAATAAATAAATAAATAAAGTTGGATCCTAGCTGGTTTTGCTCAGTGGTTAGAATGTTGGCCTTTGGACCTATGAGTCACGGGTTCAATTCCAGTCAAGGGCACATACATACCTCAGTTGCAGTTTGTCCCCAGCCCTGGTGAGGTCATGCGGTTGGCAACCAGTCAAAGTGACTCTATCACATTGATGTTTCTCTCTGTCTCACTCTCTCTCCCTCCCTCCCACTGTATGATAATAAGCAGAAAAATATCCTCGGGTGAAGAATAAAATTTTTAAAAAGCTGGCCCTGCACAGAATCAGCTCTGGCAGTTTTGCCTAAGGGCAAAAACAAGCAGCAGGAACCAAACTACTTTGACAAAATAAAAATAAAAGTTATCCCTTCTTTCACTCAGTACATACCCATTAAGAGTCCTACAGGGCAGGATGGGTCAGGGAGCAATGCACTTACTCCAGAAACAGAGTCAACATGACGTCTTTAAAGCACTGTGTGATGGGCTCCATGCGGTAAGGAAGGACAGTCCCTGAGATTCAGAGGGCAGAGGTCTGAGCCCCATGGGCTTTGCTCGCAGGCCGCCAAGCCTCTGCTCATGGCCGTGCCTCTACAGTATTGCCCTCTGGTCTCTCCGATTCATTTCCAAGTGCCAGATCAATGCAGCCTCCACCAACAAGCCTTTCTGAGGAACCTTCACTTACCAACTCCCGCTTAGACTCCTGAAATTATCTACCCCCACCCCACAGGATTCAACAGCTTACTTAGCACCCTCTGTGTGCCAGGTGATTAGTAACTGTTCACCCAGCAGCTTCCCCACCACCTAATTGAAAAGCCCTCCGCAAAACTCAGGACTTGGAACAAAACAGGTCCCTGGTCCTAATCTTTCCCACGTGACAGTGAAGCTGTTCTATAAGGTCCACAAAGATTGCTGGCAGAGCAACAACTCCAGGGTGTGCTGTTCACATTTCACCATGGTCTCCTTTGCGAATCTGATAAATCCTATGGGTCCATTTCCCCATAAAAAAATCACATATGCACAGTCACACATACATCATAAAATTTTGAGTTTTGGCAACTCCAGATTAAGAATCTAGATGTCAAATAACAGTTGTTGAGTGAGAAAATTAACTGAGCAAAAAGGGACAAGCCACTCATTATTTTCTAACCCCCGAAAGCCCTGATCTCTAGGAATCCCTGAGCACAGGCACACCCGGTTCAACATGCTCACTCCTTTGATTGCTTCATACTTGGACCACTCACCAACAGGTCAGACATCTGACGTCAGTGCCATTCTGAGAAATCACGCCTGCACCAACAAGTGAAACTGACAATTAGCACTTAGAGTTGGTGGTGGTGGCTTTAATTAAAGCAGCCAGACAACAGACACAACTAAAGCAGGTGGATCATCTCTACGTGGAATGTGCTTTTTAAAACTCAAGACATGACTAAATTAGAAGCTCTTCTGCATTTTTATGGGGCTGGGGGCTGTTTAGGAAAGACCACAGGAGGACAGACTTAAGAGTGAAATTAAGATAGTCAATACTCTGCAGTTCTACCTTAAAAAAAATGGCTCACATCAGTTTTCTTTCCTTATTTACATCTTAAACCAATGTAGGTCCCCTTTATGATCTAAGAGCAAATACCTGCTTAAAGGCATAAGACCTAAAGTGATGGAAGACCTAGAACGAAGACCTCACTCTCCATGGCACCACCTCCTTTCCCTGCTAAATCTCCAGAAAGCTGGCTGATGAGAAGCTTCAAAATTGCACACAAAAGATTTCCTATATACATAGCAATCTGTACTTACACACTTTAAATAGTCATCACCTCCTACTTGTTGCATGACTCTTAACTTACAATGTTCCTTCATGTACACTTTTGAACATATGTCAATGAAACAAGTTTCCTTAAGTCAAGGACAATGTCTTACACTACTTTATAGCTTACGGAGCTTAGATGTAGCAGATGCTCAACAAATGTTCATTGACTGAATACATTTACTGTGTATAACAGACCAAAAGCATACTCCTTTCCTCTAAATGTTTGTAATACTTGGGGGGGGGGGGGATAAAAGGACGCTCTTCCTCCCAGAGCCGAATACCAGAAGCAGCAAACTCAAAACAGGAGTGAAACAACCTATAATCCGTTTACATGTCAGCTCCTCTGATCGTCCATTTAGCCTCCCATGCAGACCCCAGAAAGAACATGCAATTCTTGGGGCACCAGGAGGAATACACCCTGACTGCAAGGAGCTACCACCAACATCTCAGCCATGGCCCTTGCATGGCCACTGGAAAAAAGATGAACCAGCTTCACATAACTGCACCTTGGAAGCCTCTCTGCCCCAAAACCCTCCCCCCAGTGATATCTGAGATACATTCTGCAGAACTGCTCTTATGGCCACATTACACTGATGATCAGCAAAAGGAGAACAATTTGAAGGTGATATATAGTTCATTTAAGATAGTGTCTTACCTGCATTTCGTATCCTCTCTTTGTACTGCTGATCTAGTTTTTTCATCCTCTTCTGATATTCCTGTAACGTACCTGATTTTGAGATTTGGAAAATAAAAAGTTACTTTGAAAATGTGCTCTCCATTTTGATTCCTAAAATTATTTTCTAGCACCAATAGTGACTCTCTTAGTAACATCAGACAGAAACACGAACCAAGAAAAGGCACACACAGAGCTAACTGGACTCTGGCTCACAATCAAGACACAGCAGAAACCACCCCAACCCAGTGGACTGAGACTCTCTACCAAGTGCGGGGTCACGGAAAGATGCAAGCAACCTCAAGAGATTCTGATCACTGGCTGCTACAGTTTGAGTCAACAGGCTTTCCTTTCCTAGAAAAACTTCATTCTCCCTTCAATAAAGTAAGGTCTAGATCAATGCCATCTAGAACTTTCTCTGCAACAATGGAAATGTTCTATGTCACACTGTCCAATAAAATAGCCACTAGTCATGTGTGGCTGCAAAGTACTTGAAATGTGGCTAATGTAACTGAGGAACGGAATTATTAATTTTATTTCATTAAATAGCCACATGTCACTAGTGATAATACTGGATAGGCAGGTTTAGATTCCTACCAAATCCCTACTCATGTCATTGCTCTTCCCAAAAGCTACTCATCATGAGGGTCCCAACTAGTGTGGAAGTATCTCCTAATCATAATGCTTTAGGAAGACATATAGGGTGGGGCAAAAGTAGGTTTACAGTTGTAAGTGTGTGTTTATTATTCTTGTATTGTTATTTATTAATTAGTGTATTCTTTTCCATACGAATAACTGTAAACCAACTTTTGCCCCACCTTGTATGAATGGCATCTTTTTCAAAATCCCTCACTCAACCATGCCTTCCTTATAGGCCTGCCAGAGTAAAATGTATTTCTTTCTGTGGCAATACTTCGATTATGATGGATGGATGGATGGATGGATGGATGGATGGATGGAAGGAAGGAAGGAAGGAAGGAAGGGGAAAAAAAAGAAAGAAAAGAAAAGAGAAAAGAAGTGTGATTGCAACTCATGGGAACATTTTGTGCTATTAAGCAGAAATCAATACAAGATGGGCTAGTCCAAACAATAAAACTACCTGGTGGAAAAGCAGTTTCACTGATGAGGGGACCCCACGAAATGAAGCCAAAGAGCTAATGGCAGCAGCTCACTGTCCCTGAGTTCTCATAGTGCGTCAGACAGAGCTAGTCACTCTCTACATCATCTCACGCACTTTCTTTTTTACTTCATTTCGCAGATCAGAAAACAAGTTAAGCAAGAAAAAGTGATGTGCCCAAGGTCAAATCTCCAGAAAGCAGTGAAGTTGGGACTCAAACCCAGGGTGAGACTCAAAAGCCTGGGCTCTTGTTCCCCACGCTGCCTTTAGCAGATAGTACTCGACAAGATACAATCCATTTTTAATTTACCAAGCTAAAAAGAGAAAACACAGTAAGGAAAATCCACAGTTCATTAGCATTTAATTTAGAAAGAATAGTAAAATTTTATTTATTTTTTGGAAATAACATCTTGCCTACAAAACGTCCAGCTGTAGGCAGAGTGGTCTTCAGTTCATACTCTACAGAAGACCCTAAGTGACATTTCAAACTAGTTTGAAGATCATCCTTTACTGACAGAAGATAGCAAAATGTATACCAAGGCAACTAAAATTAGCCTTACCAAATTTTAAATCCCTCCAACAGAGAAGTGAAACACACAGTCTTTAAAGGTTAAGAAGTATCTTTAGAAATGAAGGATTAAATCACACCAACCTTCCTGCAGCTGTTGCAACTGTCTCTTAAGAGAAGCCAGTTTATCCTGGTACATCCTGTAAAGAAAGGAAAGGCACACTGAAAGACAGAAACATTCAATACTGAATTCCAAAAGAATCTACTCACAGAAAGTACCTGGCTTGTCACAGGAATGACATCAGTATCCGTTAGCTGGTCTAAAATGCACCAGCAACTAAAGGGATCAGAAGAAACAAGGATTCTGTGCTCTTGAAACCTATCCCAATTTTGTAGATTCTCCTATTATCCCCACCTTTAGAGAATCAGTCTAAAAATCTGCAAATACGAGGGCATGCAGATTTTAACAAATGAGTAACAGTGATGAACAGAGTCAGGCAACAACATACAAAGAAAAAAATGAAAGTGTGAGGCCATTTTCTTCTAGACTTATAAGCATAAGTAACACACACACATACAAATGTAGGAAAGGCATTAAACACAGCTCTCATATCAACTCTACAATTAGATTATAAATTCCGAAGGAGTAAGATTATGCCTTCAGCACGTTTTTCTATGTAGATAGCATAGCCGTGTAACACTAAGTTAATAAACCTTCATGTCATTTTTAAAAGCACTGCTTTTTTAGTATCAAAGAAATAATAGTAATTCAGTAACAATTTTTAAAACGCATGATTTATTTGCAGCCCCAGCTGGATAAGAACACATAGCACAAACAAAGCAAAAGAACCTGGTGTGTTATTTTTCCCCCAATACTGAATGGATTAGAGGCAATTATAGACCCTGGCAAGTCTGTTTGAATGGTACAGTCTACATGTAAATCACATTTCAGCAATACTTCTGCTTCTACCTGAAAAACGCCCCCAATTTCAAAAACAAGATTTGCAACCTGAAGGAAAAAAAACCCCACTATCCAATAGATAACATTTCAAATGGGTCAAGGAAAATCGGTCAAAAGCCTGAAGAGAATAAAAATATAAAAAACGTTTAAATGCAAGCAGTTTCAGGGATGAAGCTATGAGAAAAATCACATGAAGTAATCATCCTTTGTTCAGTAGCACAGGTCAGATTTTAACTGAATTATCCATTTGGGTTCAAATGGTTGAAAAGGATGACAGAATCCAAAGGATGGTCACAAAACATTTGCAACTAAGACCCATAAGGAAAAGAAATGTGGACTGTGTAGTTTAGAGATTTTAAAAAGTCAAATCAAGCCCTGGCCGCTTTGGCTCAGCAGTTAAGAGCACTGGCCCATGGACCAGAGAGGCCTAGGTTCAGTTCCCACTAAGGGCACGTACCTCAGTTGCAGTTTGTCCCCGGCCCCGGTTGGGGTTGTGTGGGTGGCAACCACTCAATGTGTCTCTCAGACATCAATGTTTCTCTCTCTTCCTCCCTCTCTCCCTCCAGCTCTATCTGAAGCTAAATACAAAAATGTCCTCAGGTGAGGATAAAAAAAAAAGTCAAATCAAGAGCCTCAAAATACATTCAACAACTACTTATCGGTATGTTTTTTACGACGTCTTGCCTCTGTGTTTATGATAAAAGCGAGCGGTTCTAGTTTCTCTGGCCATACTCAGAGGTGGCTCTGCTGAAGACAATGAGAAGGCTAGGGAGAACGTGTGCCAAGTGGGATGGGCATCAGAGCCAAGCGAACATGTGCTGAGTGGAAAGGGCACGAGAGCAGGAGTCCTGCTCTCCAACCCTGGTCTCCCTGAGCTCCCTGGAATCCAGCATACCATCTAGCATGCAGTTAACGCTCGGTGGGGTCACACCCATCTGAGAACCAAGTAGCTGTGAAACATCATTTACCCTCTCTGGTGGTTTTCACATCCAAAAAAATGTGAGAAATGGTTCTCTTTTGTTACACGGTCTTATTCCCCAGGGATATTCCCTCAAGGTTCTTTTTAGCATATCTTCAAAAGATTCTTATAATAGGAAGGCTGATAAATGGAATAAATTTAAAGGGGGAAATGGCACACATATCCATGGTCTTTGGAAGCACTGCAGTCAAAGCTGTACACACAAGGTCACTACAGAGATTTCCTTGTTAATTCTATATTCCAAAAAAGAAATCTAAAAACCATACTCACTGTTCCTTCATTTCTACATAGTCTTCTTCATCATGCTTTGCCAGGTCAGTTTCACTAGCATCCTCAGTGTCTAAGTAAAACCAGGGAAGAAGGTTTGTTAAAATCATTCATAAAGTTGATTATCACCTGACACACTTAATAAACTTCTAGTTTGTTTTTTGGGGTTTTTTGTTTTTTTTTTTAAATGAATTCTAGTCAATGAAGGCCTGGGTGAAGCCATCAATTAAAAAAAAAAATTACAGTTACTTCAGAAAAGAAAATGCCATTTCCAACTTCTAAACAGTCAGATTTACGCAAAGAGCTTGCCTTTATCTCAAGTGCAGCCAGAGAACAGGGTGCATCAGACACAGGCAGTCATGGTCAAGGCTGCTTCTCCTGCAGAACACTGGCCGTTCAGGAAAAGGAGATGTGGGGGTGAGACTGGAAAACTACAGGCAGGCAAGCCTTGATCACTACTCCAAGACAACCTAATGTGTTCATTCTCCTCTGGTATAGGCCCAGTTTGAACACTTAACAGATTTCACGTCACATGTATAAAAAGGAGAATCCGAATCAATGAACAGAAATATTTTCACAGTTACAACTAAAAAGAGACAAGATGATCACACGGAAATTTTCAGAACATTTTAAACCCTGTTCTTAGAATATGCAAAGGGATGGAGTGTCTACATAATTTTAAGTCTTACTTAGAGTGGGGGATGAGGGGAATCGATTTTGGCTTCACTGCTCCCCCTTGTGGGCATTAAAAACAGTAATAGTGAAGCAGTAATAGTGACGAGTGATTCACATTCAAAATCTCTGGTTAAGCCTGTTTTCAAGTACAGTTTAATTAAATGCAATTAGTTCCTTCCTTCAATTTTTATATCTGCATATACAGCTGGCTTTTTAAAGGCTTTTGCAGGTTCAATTATCTATAAACTCCTCCGCCCTCCTTCAGTCAAGAGACCCTCATGGAGTTCCTGTCATGTGCCAGCCACAGTACTTGGGAAACTGAGATGACTAAAACGTATTCCTCATTCCAGGCAACTAACGGGTCTAGCTAGCCTTTTGCTCCATAGCCTTACTTTGTGCCAGAATATTCCACCCACATACTGGTCTCTATATCCTCTTTCTTATCCTTTCTCCTCCTCCAGCCAGCTCCTTCACTTCCCTCCAACACTGAACAGTGCTCCTCACACTTGCCAGAGTGTAAAACCCAGTTTGAAGAGCAAGCTTCTGACAGGCTGTAATGACAATGCCAAGAGCACGGAACTTAACACCACCACACCTGGGCACCATCCACATCCCTTCCTCCCCCTTGTCTCTGTTTTCCTAGAGGTGGAAAAAAAAAAAAAAAAACACCACTATTTCCTGAGTACCAGGCTTTAAAGTGCCAGTACAATACTTTATTTACACACCTCATGCAGTCCTCACACCTACACGAGCAAGCCCCATTTGTTGGAGAAACTGAGGCTCGTAAATTGTCTAAGGTCAAACGCAGCCTTAAGTGAGCCGAATTTGGACCCACATCTGATTCCAGGTCCCATCCTCTTAGCCAAGCTGTACTGCACTGCCCAAAGTCAGTGTGACTAAAGCATGTCCCCGGGGTAGACGGTGGGGGGCGGGGAAGCAACCTGGGAACTAGGAGGCCCAACGGCTTCGATCCAATGGGCTCGGGAACCAAAAGGGGAGGGGCACTCAATGGAAGGCTTTCTCATTCCAACCCGCGAAGACCCGGGGTTCAAGCAGAGACAGTAGGGACGGAGCAGAACCTTGAAGGGACTTCCAGCGGTGACAACAGCTCCCCAAGTCCCTTCTTCCCGTAACTAGGGTACGACGTACCCAGAGCTTCCCGGTCCCCTGAGCAAGGTGGGTAAACTTCCCGGAGCTGCGGTGCTTCCAGCGGCCCGTCCAGCCTGCCCCAAGCCCAGGAGGTCGCGCCGCCCCCCTCCCCAGCACCCCCACCCCCGCCCCGGCTGCCCAGCGAGCTAAAGGACGCGCCTTCGTCGGACTCGCGGCCCCGGCAGCTGCGCTCGTCGTCCTCGGCGCTCTCCAGCTCTTCGTCCTCTTCGGGGTAATACTCCGGAGCCGGCGGCGCTCCCGCCGGGGCCGGGGCCGGAGCCAGCAGCCCCGCGGCACTCATGTCGCCTCTGACAGCAGCGGAGGGTGCCCCCCGGGGACGGCGGCCACCCGCCCTGCGGCCTCGACGCCCGCCAAGCCGCCCCCCAGGGAGCCGCCAACTTGAGAAGCGGGAACCCCGGCGACCTCTTCCCCGTCTCCGACTAGCCCCTCCCCTCGCGCCCGCGTTCGGCAACCGGGGCCTCGCTCCGCTGGCAACTTCCGGGTCGCGAGCTGCCCGACGGCCGCCTGACTTCGCCATCGTTCAGGGAACGGAGAGGCCTCCGGACGCTTCCTTCGCCTTAACTCCAGCCTCTTTATCGCCGCCTTAAAATCCTCAACGGATAGTCAATAGGGGCGGAGACAAGATCTTTAGAGTTAGGCAAATAGATGGGCAGGCCTGGTCCCGGTCAGGACCCTGAAGCTCAGAGGCGACTTCCGGAAACAACCACCAGGCGGCGCCTGGGGCCAGAGCTAAAGAGAGGGTCCTTAGCGACCTGGGAGGCAAAGGGTTTGAAGGGTTTTTGGCAGGTAGAGGTGGTCTCTTCTTTAAGCAGGGGAACGACATTAAACATAGACATCTAGAATTTGCGTGATCATCCCGAAGAAAAAGTACCTGGTTCCTCCCCTGACTAACTGAATCTTTATTGGAAACTAAAATAAAGACAAGAATGCTGATATGCCATCCTGGAGTCAGCAAACCGATATTTTCCCAGCCTCTGGGAGTCCTTTCTGTTTGTATAGGTTTACTCAATGAGATGTCATCCCGATTTTACAGGTGAGAAAAGAGCTGTCAGTTGCCTTTAAACAACGATAGCGTCCAGTTTGCTTTAGTTGGACTGTCAGAACCATGCCCTCTACTGCACAGCTGCCTCATATTTCTTAGAATATTATTTTTTTAAAGGTGGTTCCCCCCCAATCTGATATCTTGCTAACCAGCTCTCAACTGGCACATTTGCCTACAGGAAGTTAATTAAGCTAACTCGAGGAAGATGCTGCGTGGAAACAGAAAACAGCAGAGTAGAATCTCTGCATGAATTGATTTGTGTGATTCCAAGTAGAAGGGGGACAGAGTTATAAGCTTTGCTTAATGAACAAATTTAGGATGTCCCTTCTCTGGTTGTGGGTAGCAAGAAAAGGGATAAGGAAAAAGTGAGATGTTTAATGGTTTTTCCAAAGTAACCCTACTCTTTATGTAGCACCAAGTCTCCATAGAAAAAGTAAAACTATAAAGTTGAACATGGTATAAAAAGGGTGAAATCCAATATTCTGCTTCTCAGATCCTTTACGACCAAATTTATCTCTGAATTGGCCCCCATAAAGTATTCTCAAAAAGTACAAAACCTTATTCTCATCCCATTTATTTTAACATTTCTTATTTTCTACCTTGCCTTCTTTAAAATCTTGGCTATATTTGTGAGCAATTTTTTTCCCCTCCAAACAAAACTCAAGAATTTCCAGATGGGAGGCTACAATGTCTTTCCAGGAGTTCAGAGATCTGAAGCTCCTTCTATGTAAGAGTCATTCTCTGGGCTTACTGTAGGTTCACTGTCTATACATAAACTAAGATTTCAGAACTGTCTCTTGTCCAAAGGATGATGTCATTTTCTTTCTTTTTTTTATCCTCACCGAGGACTTTTTTTTTTTTTTCCATTTATCCTCAGATAGAGTGGGAGGGAAGGAGGAAGAGAGAGAGAAACATCAATGTGAGAGACACACATTGAGTGGCTGCCACCCACACGACCCCAACTGGAGCCCGGGGCAAACTGCAACCAAGGTACATGCCCCTAGCAGGAACTGAACCTGGGACTCTCTGGTCCGAGAGCCAACGCTCTGACAGCTGAGCCAAACTGGCCAAGGCATGATGTCATTTTCTTTATTCATGCTGTTAGATCCCATCTAAATTATTTGTACTCAACTATATTGAGCAATTTAAATTCCTATCAGTAGCAGTAATCATACACCAGAAAAAGCACCAACATTTTAGAAATTGGAGTTCATTGTTGTAATGAAATCGGCCCTTGTGGCTCACTGGTTGAGCGTCTACCCATGCACCAAGAGGTTGCCAGTTCAATTCCCAGACAGGGCACATGCCCAGGTTGTGGGTCCGATCCCCAGTGGGGGGCACGCAGGAGGTGGCCAATCGATGTTCTCTCTCATCGATGTTTCTATCTCTCCATCTCCTTTCCTCTCTCTCTAAACCTCTCTCAATAAAGGGAAAAAAATGTTTTTTAAAAAAGTTGATTTCATTGCTAATTGGTTTCCTTCCAAGACACTTGGGTTTTTATCTTGCTTATGTTTTATTTCTTTTTTATATGAATAGACACAACTGAATACTTGGGTGGTGAAAACTTACCCCATTTCTTCCAATCCATATTGCCAACTTCAGAATTGGTAAGTTGAGCTTTTAATAAATACTCTTTAGAAAAGGAGGACCTAGCTATTTTAATATAATTTGGACAGTTTCTCTAGGCCTATAGAAATCAAGTTCCCTCAAAATGAAGTTTTACCACCTTGAAATGTCTCTGCATCCCATCCCCAAATGACACGCAGTCACACTGCTCAGGAGACATCTACTTCAGAACTAGTCCTCAAGTTCCCCAGCCCCATTTTCACAGGCCCTCTCAGCAAACCCTACCACTCAAACTTAAACTTGAAAGAGGAGCATCGTAATTGGAATGGGGCATGATTTTAAAACGCTAGGGAAAATACAGTGTTTAGAACACAAATTTTATCAATGGGAGTTAACACAAAAAAGAGTTAACGGTGGAGCGTTTTCAGAGAGTGAAGTCCAACATACAAATCTGACAAGGCTTAGTAGGATCAAATTGTGTCTCTAAAATAAAACCATTTCTTCATCAACAGTTAATTGTCAAAGTCCATAATCTTTGGGATTTAGGGGTGAGAGTAGCAGTTTAACGTTTCCTGTATTGTTTAATCAACATAGCCAATTTCACAAAAATAGAAAGAATGGCTCTGTGTAACAAAACGTCCTTTCACCCCTGGCAGGCACCGTCTTTCACCTTGGGTCAAGATGGGTCTCTGATTATCACAGGTTGCACTTGGGTCGAAGTCTATTTATTACACTTTGGCCACCAGCTCACAGAGAGCTATTAAAATATGTGGCCCTGAAAAGAGAGTATGTTGAATAGGCTTGCTGAAACCTTGCTAAAGCTACCAGGGTTTCCCCTACCACACAGTTCCTGTTCCGCCTGTAATGATTAACAAAACCCACAAAATGATTATTTCTAAAGCTTTGCCCTTGTACCTATCAAAACGTGCCCCATCAGTGCTGAACGTTTAGTTGTGCTGAGCACGCATCTAGTACCTAGATTTTTCTTTTTCCAAGAGCATTCAACTGACGTCTGTTGAACCCAATAGAAGGTAGGGCCATTCTCTTGACAAAGATACAAAAAAAAGAGAGAGAGAGAGAGAGAGGGAGTTTGAATTCAGGAAATAGTTCCAAGTCCTGAGTGAACAAACGCTATATTAACTTCTGGCAGAATTACTTAGAAAGCTGTGCAAGGTCTAGCGAAAGAACGGGGTCCTCAAAGGCTCTAACATGGTGGTCCAGGGGAGTCCCAGAGGGCCTCGGCCTCTGGGAATCTCCCAAGAAAAGTAAAGGAGCAGGAAGGAGTGCCATGAACTTTGGCCGCAGCACTGCACAAACAAAAATGACCGCACCCCAGGCGGGCCCGTGGGTAACTGAAGTTGCAAGCTCTTCCGTGTCCCAAGAAGCCCCGCCCCGCCCCATCCCGCCCCCCCGTCCACTCCGCCAATCCTCAGACGCCATCGACCGCTCGGCTTCTCAGGCAAGCTCAATCCACTACCTATATCCGGCCCCAGGCCTGTGCCCCACGATCCAGGAAGGTCAGTAGAGAGCCTATCAGAGTCGAGCTGGGGGCGTGGTCCGGGGACGGGGGCGGGCGGGCTGAGACCGTGGGGCGGAGCGCGCTCGGCGCAGTCGGGTGCGATTGGCCACCCCTGGCGAGAGCCGCACCTCGGACAGCAGCAGCGGCGGCCGCGGGAGGGTCGGTGTGGCGCCCGGCGGCGGCGACGGCGGCGGGGTCCTGCGTGAGAGAGTGGGACGCGACGCAGAGACCGCGCGCGGAGGCTCCGCGCCGCCGGCCCGTGCACTCAGCGACAGAACTCAGGGATCCTCCAGGGGACAAGCGGCAGAAGAGCGACTCGGGAACAAGTGTGGGAGAGGAAGCGGCGGCGGCGACGCCGGGCCGGGGTGGTGACAGCAGGTCTGAGGTGAGAGCACCAGGGCGCGGGGCTGTGACAGCGCGAGCCTAGTTGAGGGGACCCGGGGCGCAATGAGGTCGGCGAAGACCCGAGGGAAGGGAGTTCCGGGAACAGGTTTGACAGTCGGGACTGTGGAGAGAAGACCCCAAGAGGGGCTGGGGCAGAGGGGGGACCCTAAGACGGGCAGGGAACATGAGTCTGAGGGGGAACCCCGAGAGGGTCCGGGACAGCGAGTGTGAAGAGGGGGGACCCCGAGAGACAGCGGGTCTGAAGAGAAGGGACCCCGAGAGGAAGCGGGACAGTGGGTCTAAGGGGAGTTCCCAAAGGGGCCGGGACAGGTATGAGGGAGGGTCCCCGAGAAGCGTGGGACAGCGAGTTTAAGGGGGATCCCCGGGAGCGGCTGGGACGTCAGATCGATGGGGGCGGGATAGTGGGTGTGAGGGGCAGGGGACCTCCAGAGGGCCCGGGACAGCAGATCTTGGGGGGATAGGTCCCCGAGAGGAACCGGGCCAGCTGGTCGGCCGGGTAGGGGGCCGAGACGGCTCTGAGCATGCCCGGCCCTGCGTGGGAGCGGCGAGGCGAGGGAGCCCGGGTCGGGGTCGCGGCGCGCGGCGAGTCGGAGCAGCCGGCCGCGCGGACCGGAGGGGACAGTGCTGCCCGCAGGGTCTGCAGGCAGCCGATCTTCCTGAGGGTCGCGCGTGAGCGTGGGACAGCCGGACCCCAGTGACTACGCGGGTGACTCGGTGGAACAGGGGTTATGTAATGAGACGTCTGGGTGGAACGCACGGGCTG